TCATTTATCCTTTTAATCCCTTGTACTTATTTGGGAAGTTTGTAGTCCACTCTGATCGTATAGGCGGAGACACTCCTTCTTTGAGCCCTCCTCATTGGCGTGTCCCCACCATGCACCGTATTAGAAGCAGGCGGATACCAGATATTAGGAGCGGAGACACTACACCTTTTTTTATTGACGCCCCTCTTCCTGACACTCTGAGTGGTGGTGGCGCTCCGATTGAGATATTTCCAATGAATGAGTGTCCCCGCCCATAAGATCAGTATGGACTGTGCCTGCGAAGGAAAGAGTAAAAATAACTTTTTTTAGAGTGTACAGGAAATCGTTGATCAACTGGAATACTACTCCACGTTGCGACATCGCAGAATCGGGAGGTAAGGGTAATCCAGGTGAAGAAATCAAGTGTGTAGGCAGATAAGTTGCGGTTACAAACCTGTGTCCTGGTCTGCCCAGTGTTGGCCTATTTCCACTGCTGGACCGATTCTAGAAAGGTTAGCGGTAGGCCAGGGAGGCCAGCGGATGATCTTTCCCACTCTATTCTAAAGGGTCAGAAGACGAGTAAATGACTTGATCTGGATGGGGTACTGGTCAGGAGATATGCGTTATGGCAAGATGAAGATTTTAGCTCAGCGTTTCGCAGCTTGTTGAATAAATTTCCTGTAGCTTTTCCAGGTGAGACCGTACGCGGCGTCACAGTCTTTTTCGCTACGGGTGCTAGGCGATTTGGGAGCGGGGTTTGGCGTTACGCCAGCTCGCTTACCCACTTGTTGCCGTTTTCCGTTCCACAACAGTTGGAGGGAAACTGGCGACACTCCAAACTCAGCTCTCCTGAAACTTCCCAGCACCCGCAACGAATACGGCTATACAACGCCGTTTTGCTGACCAATCGCAGCATGGATCTCTTGACCCACATCATGGGAGCGAGTCTATCCGGATCCTCTAAAGTCCCGCTGGTTATATGCTTTATGTGTTAAGAGAGAAATAGAGGAGAAAGCGATAGGACTTCGAACTGCCTCACTATGGGATATTATGATTCGTCATGTAAAAATTGTAATCCTTTTGTCCCTCCAGTAGTTGTCCCAAAATGAAGTATCCCACGGATAACTCAACCTACGCCATGTCCGAATAAAGTACGCAACTACGCTTAGGGACTGAGGACCAGAAGGCATTGCTCGAGAGCGTACTGTCATCGAAAGCACCACAAAAGACAGCCCCTCACTTTCTCTTGTTCTGAAACCACCATGCGTACTGATATGCTGTTTTTCAGCGTGTACGGCTATCACATCGGTGATGGTGTATTGTCAATTTTTCGAACATTTTTACCAACTGGTGCCGTGGCAGATCAGCTCAAAGTCGCCCCGTTAATGGAATGCATTGCTCAAAGGTATTGCAACCTCTTATTTTATGCCAGAATTTTATTGGAGCTAACGCTTATATGGGAGGAATCGACCTTCAATTCTGTTTCTATTAATGGTATGCGTCTCCAAGGCTGCGTCCATACTTTGCGACAGCGTCCACCAGCATTCGCCAGCGTCCACTAGCGTCCGCCAGCGTCCGCCAGCGACCATCAACGTCTCGAGGGACTAGGAAAAAAATGGATATTGGTCGTCTACCAGCTTTCACCAGCATTCAGGAGTAGAGAGTATGGGGAAGAAGGAGGGTAGCAGACTGCTGGTAGAGCATGGGAAAGTAGAAGGGAGAAAACTGCAGGATTAGGCGTCGTGAAATTGTGGCGTGTGCAACCGCACTGTACCGCTACACAATACTGTACTCCTTGTCAGTGAAGCTGGTAGACACTAGATCGTTATCCATACTTTACTAGCGCCTCAATACGCTGCTGGTCGCTGGCGAACGCTGGTGGACGCTGCCGTTCGATATCTATACTTCCTAGCCATTCACACTGACGTACACTCGAAAACCTGATGGTCGCTGGTTTACGCTGCCGCAAAGTATAAACGCAGCCTAATACAGCAGAAGGTAAAGAAGAGAAGCTCAGGGCGCTGTTGGACTTGGAGGGGCATTTCGCACTTTTGCTAGTTCATTTTGCTAGTTCATGCTAGATAACAGGTCTCACTTTGGCTAGATCTGTAAAGTCCTGTTAGCCGCATTTGTCACAGGAATATACAGGTCTTCACAACGTGGCCTATGCAAGGTTAATCAGAACAAATTGGCTACCCCTACAAAGGGACCATCCCGGAGGCTGGCAATTACCAAGTCAAACTCCGGCACGAGCAGCGATTCTTGGGCAAATACGGTGGGAGGCCTGATTTCGCCCACATAATCGGCATTGGAGGGGCTTTCTGGTCCCTCCAGCAGCTACAGTACACGTGCTCTTCAAGTATTTTACTGTTCAGGGTATTTCCGCCAACTGCTAGAAGCGCTGGAATTCCTTCACGAGCGACATGTCACTCATGGTGACATAAAAAGTGAGTTGTCATGGAGAGCAGAGGAAGCGTTGGGAAATACTCGTGAGGCTCAGGGGATGGGCCCTAGTTGGGTGCAAGTTTGATGGATTGTTGAGTCGTGATGTGACCTTTCATCTTTTTTGCGACCATTAATTCCCATCAACGGTATCAGCACGCCAGTACCGCAATTGTAACTTCCTAATTCAAACTTTTTGGAGGTTTTCTCTGGGACTTTTTGCTAGAGCTCCCTTCAGTAGATGGAGCGAAAAGCGGACAGCGAGGTGGGCCATGCTATCTCTGTTCGTCTGCGTTCTCTCACTAGAACCACGTTCAGTGGGAGAATTTTGAAACAGTAAGGAATAAAGTATGGGTAGTAGACCGCAGGCAGGCAGGACATTTAGTTGCCTCACTGCCACCATGCTATTTCATCACCAACAAAACGATAGTAAGACAGTGAGTGATACGGATGGTCCACGTAGACCCTCCTGCCATTCCAACGCAATTTCTGCTTCATAGTTTTTTCCTCGTTTTCAGAAAAGTGGAGCAAAACTGACCTGTCAAAATAATTTTCAGCTTCAAACCTACTGGTCACGCTTTCCGGGGACATCCAAGTCACCGACATCTCGCTGCCTCGTGAGTGTTATGAGTTTCTACGAAAAACCAAAGAATCTTCCAACCTCCAAGAGTCCTGGTCATCTTAGAGGTCTTCTCCCAACCTTCGAGATAACTGTTGAGTTTACTTTTTACTCCTTTTGTAGATGCACCTAAAAACGACAAACACAAGCGGCGAACTCTTCTGCATTGTGCACCTGAAATGTTCAGAACAAAGGACTCTTGGGAAGACATCACACCGGCTACCGATATTTGGTACTAGTAATTACTATTGTGAGAACAACTTTTTTATTTCCTGTGTGTTCGTCGCTTAGCTTAGCTGGAGGGAGAGCACGCAGTGACACTGATGGAGATTGAACGGACGGCATGGTACTCTGGGTGCATCGTTCAGAGGATCTCCTCAGAGGATTGTACCTGGTCGCTGGAGGGAGAGGATAGGGTCGTATTTGCCTTTGACATAGGAATACTTAGGGGCATAGAAGGTAGTTTGAAGCGGGGTCATACTAAAAACGTCATTTGACTATCACTACATATACTGCACCCTCGTGGCACTCTCTCCACAGCTGCCTCGAGTCAATCTCCTTCAGTAACCCTCTCCGACGAGATCTTCCATCTCTTGCGAATCACTGGAATTTCGTAGAGAGGGAAAAAAGTGAGGGCCGATGAAAGGGGAAGGGGAGGTTGGGAAGGTGGGAGCAGTATGCCATCCCGCAATGAAAAAAATTGCTAAAATTTGTATTCTTTCACGGAATCCTTCAAAGCGTTTCGAACCATCGCGGAAGCTGTCCAAACATCGACGTCATCGTTGTGCGAGTCCCCAAATGGAGTCCTACTTGGTCGCTGGGGATAGGTGTGGTGTTTGGGAAAAGATCCTTCCCGATTGTTGATTCTTCATATTTTACGCGAGCTGTATAGCTTCCCTAGTTGGCGGCGCAGAGACACAATACTTCTGATAGTACCAATCAGAAATGCTCCCCTCCCCCGCTCCCTTTCCGCGCTCAAGACTTCGAATTCGAGGGTAAATGTTATCGTGAGAGGGGGTTGGGGAGGTGTAGCAATCGCCAATCATCGCCTGTGTCCAATTAAGGACTGGTCCTCTCTAACAACTGCAGTTACCATCCTTTACTGTAATCCCTAGAAGAGCTGTGTTCCCTTTTGGGTAAAAGGGAAATGCCTTATCGCCTGCGGTCGCCTACCATGTTCCCCATGACTTAAACCGTCCTTTCTAAGTTCCATCCCAATACAATCTTTTCGATTATCGTATTCTGGAAATTTCATGTATCTTAGAACTTTCCAGGGCAGCCGGTTGTGTACTGGTGGCTATGGTCACACGACACGCACCATTCCAAGATCTCTTTCTATCGTTATCCACACAGGAATTACACGAGGTAAGTCCCAAGAAAATGATTGTGTCAGTAACTGCCATAATTTTTTTAGAAACTTCTTGAGGCGCACCGACCAGGTTCTCCTTGTGCGTTGAAGTACGGAAGTCAAACGCTGATACCAACATCGAGCAAGGAATTGGCCGACTTGGTCGATGCCACATTCAAGCGTGATCCAGAGCGGAGGCCTCGAGCTGGCGAGGTTGACTTAATATTTTAAAGCTACAGAAAACAAAAATACAACGTGGAGGAGATGATCTCTCGGCGTCGAATAGTCACCGTATTACAACGAAGGCCACCCCTGTTTGCATAGCCATTATTCCTGCAAACGAAAGGGGGCACGAGTTGGATTGCAGCCAGAACAGCCTTCAACCAATTGTTGCGGAGGACATCATTATTGGAATGGCCGCCTTGGCAGCGCTCCAATCAACGCCCCGTCGCACGCCCTACCTCTTGCAGCGATTGTGACTGTACATTCGAGCGGGTGCTGATTTAATTGCTGTGTAGCATTACTATCGGCTTTTGATGCACAGATTTCCTTGCTGGTCAGATTTGTAAATAGATGGATGTAAATATAGGTGAGTAAATAAGACGGTGGATAAAGATGGTAATCTTAACGGTGGTAGTAGGTGAGTCACTCACTTCAGGTTAGGCGGCGTTCATACTCTGCGGCAGCGACCACTTAGGGCCACCGCGACCAAGCCAGCGCTTCAGAGCGTCCATCAGGGAATAGCGTAAGTAGTAAGGTATAGATAGATCTAGCGATCACCGGCGATCCACCCCAGCGTCCTGCTTAACGACCAGCAGCTAACAGCAAGTGGCAGAGTATGGGAAGAGAAAGAGCGTCCCGGCTACCAGACGCTATCCTACTCCGCAGGTGCTCTCAGTAAGCGTCCGCTACCTCCCATTCCCCATTACTAATCTACCGCAATTCTTGCCACCCTCCTACCAGCCACATTTTTACTCTCCAGTGTCTCGAGACGCTTGGTCTCTTGGACACGATGGACGCTGCTAGCCTCTAAGTTGATACATGAACTTCCCAAGCCCTCAAGAAGTGCTGGCTGCTGGCAGACGCTGGTGGACGCTGCTGGTCGCTGGTGAACACGGTGTTCGCTGCCGCAATGTGTGAACGCGGTCTTATGGCTGAGAACTCTATGTGGCCCAGGTCATGGACCAAACCGGACTCTTAAAAGGGATTTGCACAGGGATAACGACCTTGACTGTGGGTTTCACGCAATCGAACACGGCGTGAGGTTGCGACGACGCGTAGTCGGAAACTCTGAACGCTGACGTTGACAAAATTACCTGCCGCGCTCAAGCGCCAGGTGATTTTATCAACTGGTTTACTCACATGGGCTATATCTTGTGAACAAGGGCTGCTAGAAAAGAATAACGCGTTATGGGTGCTCACAATCACTCAATATTTCCTCTTTAGTTATTGGAGAAGTTCTTCCCAACTACGAAAACTCGAACAACTTCTCGAATCTCTCATTCCGCTCGAGAATCCATGAAGCGCGAGCCATTGAACCATAAGGATCTCTACATGGACGAACCGTGAGTGGTTAGCTATCAAAACTCCTGCAGTTTTAGAGCAGTCAAATTCAGGACGCCTACAGATGCTGTCGACGCTCACAAGACCCTACTCCAACGGCTGTACGAAGCTGCAGAACGACGCAAAAATGAAAATGATGAGGTTGCTTCCCTTGCAAACCCTAA